TAAATTATATTTTTTATATAGTAATAATATTACTAAAATTAATATTTAATATTTTATAAAGAAATTAATAATTTTTTAATTTCACAGGCAAATTTGCCTGCTAGACAATCTAAGAGATAATTTACATTCTAGGATCTATTTATAGGATTCAGTAGTTTCATCAGACACAAGAGCTTGTGCAATAAAACGAGACCTAGTATTGTTATCAACAATAAGGAAAAGTGAAAGTGGCATTTGGTAGCAATTGGTTTTAGCGGTATTGTAATTCACAATAACGTCATGGTATTCTAACCAAAGAGCAATTTGAGTTAAAAACATCCTAAAAAGTCAGATAAATCTATTTTCTTTGTCAAGTTGAAACTTGACAAACCATTCAGGATTATCTAACTGATATTGAATGAGTTTTTTTAATAAATAAGATGCATCATGTATTTCTTCTACTTTAATCTTATATTTTTGTATTGCATTAATGAGATCTTAATCGAGAATAGATAGAGTCAGGAACTTTGTTTTTAATAGCTTTCATTGAGTAGTAATTGATAGATTTCCATGTTCTATAAGGAATTAGATTTCTTTGAAAACGTCATTATCAAGGACACACTAATATTTTGTTGAATACTCTTCAGTATTAGAAAATAGCATATGGTTATGCGAATTATTAAAAGTGGTAAAGACTATAGTTTGAGAATTTTGGAGGCAATTGTAATTTGCATTCTATACTCATTGTTGGTATTTTGATTTACGATCTCAATGTTTATTAATATCAATTAGTTTTTTTGGTTGATAATGATCACCAAATTCACATCCAAAATTACGATGCTTAATACTGTCATTTTCATGATGAATTAACCATTTCTTTATAATTGCAAATTCATGTTTTTTACCATAAGCTTTTATAATAGTGTCAAGACTTTCCCATGATTCAAAGACACAACCAACACAAAGGATTATAACTGGATTATAAAGGTAAAGTAATATGTCAGTAATTTATTTGACTCTAATAAATAGATATAAACGAAGAAACTAATAATCTCACCTTCATTTTATGGATTCAGAGTTCTATCTTCTAGGTTCAAACGTGTTAAATTTAGATTTAAAAGTATTTCATTTTTTGGGTTCATAGGTGTTATATTGTTTAACTCAAACTGTTTTATATTAAAAACAGTTAAATAGATATATTAGCAGAATCAATTTTTTACTTTTTACTTTTTACATTTATAGAGTATTTATATTAAGGTTTCGGGCAAAACTAGTTTTGCCTAATTTGATCTACAAAGTGTTTCCAAATTAAGGTTTATAATAGTTTCAGATATATGAAGCTAAACTGAAAGTTTACTGGGCGAAAAGTTTTAGATTCGAGGAAATGGTTTCGCCTGAAACATTAATTTATATATCATAATCACAAAGCATCATGAAAGAAGTATCATCTTGAATGGATTCTTGAATATATAATTTAGACATAGTTTTGTGAGGTAAAAATGATCATAACACAAAAAAAGCAAAGCAAAAAAAGTTCTTTATGTTTGGAATTTGATGACCACTATGCAAAAGAATAACCATAATGTAAAAAAAAAGTGAAGCAAGAAAAGTTTTATTTGGGATTTGATGACTACTACATAAAAGAATGATAGCAACGCAAAAAAAGTGAAGTAAGAAAGTTTTCTATTGAAGGTTTGACTATTACGACTTAATGCAAAAAGAAACTGAGTCACACAAAAAAATGACTTAAATGTAAAAAAAAGCTGAAGAAAATTACTACAATTCTGCTTGTTATAATATTTGTACACTTTATTAACTATTTTTTAGTCTTTTTTTTTTAGCTGCCTTTATTACCAAATTATAGGGTAAGTACCTTTGTATGATACAATACGAACTTGAGAAAAAAAAATTTTTTTTATCCAAAGATTATTGTGTCACACAAAAAATGCAGTTTTCGTATAACAGCAAATTACACAAAAAATGCGTGATGCAATACAGTAAAAATGCTACACATCACATAAAAATGTGTGACGCAATGCCATTTTCGCATAACAGAAACATTATATAAAATCTATAACATGCCGCAGTTTTTATATAACAGAAAAGTCACACAAAAAATACATGACATGACGCAGTAGAAATACCACACAAAAAATGCATGACGCAACATAATAGAAACGTCATACAAAAAATGCGTGATGTTCTACATATCACGTGATTTTCAAGGTTGTTACAAATAAAAACGTGTAATAGGTTGTTATAAATAAACATTTTCTTTAATATATGGGAGCTGATCTATTAAAAGTAGGTTACAAGACATAGTAAATCATATGATCCGTATCTCAATTTTAATAGAATACTACTCATATACAAACTTTCATCAATATTGATAAGAATATTATTATTTTCTGAAGTATCTTTTAAAATGTCTTTATTTTCCATTTTATTAAAGGTGATGTGTTAACTTCTATTATCAAAACTAGAGATAATATTTTAGAAGTATTTTAGGTAGAATATTAAATATTTTATTGGTATTCTGTTTTTTGTTAAATGAAAAGGTAAAGCAGAGTATTTTCTTAATTTGATTTTTTGATCTTCATTTTTTAGTACTTATAAAAAAGAGTTTTTTAGTTAAGTATTATTTTATTAATTAATTTAACTAACTCAATATATATTTTTAATATATTTAATACAATTTTTTATTGGCTAAGAATGTTTATTGTAATATAACTATTTTTTTTGATTATCAATTATTTAAAATTAATTACTAGTCTTAGAATCTAATTTTTAATAGTTTAATTCTTATATATTTATTATATTTATTATAAAATATAAATTAAATTTCATAATAATAATTTCAAAATTTTTATTTATATACTGTACATTTAAACTTAATTTAATCTTTATTTTTATTTATATATTTTAAAAGATTTTTTATTAAATTATTTAATTATTTAATTATAATTAAATAATTAGAAGTTTAATTAATACTTATTTAATAAGCTATTTTTAAGCATTTTTTACTATTATAATTATAATTAAATAATAAATTTTGAAATTAAATAATAAAGAAATTTGTTTTATTTAAATAAACAAAAATTTGAAAAATTTTTAAAATAATCTTATCTAAAATTTTTTAATATTATTAATAGAGTTTTTCAAAATTGAATTGAATCAAATATTGAAGCAATTTGAATTTGATTTGATTTTTTTTAAATTAAATCAAATCAAATCAAATCAAATTTTTGATCGAATCCAATTGAATATAATAAAAAAATTGATTTTTATAATTATATATTAAAACTTTAGAATAAATTTATTTTAATTAATAATATGCACTAAAATTTCAAAAATAAACTTTAATAAAATAAGTTTAGTAACAATATAATTTTTACTAAAAAATCTTAGTAAAACAACTTAGCAGTTTCAGTTTTACTAAAATAACTTAGTAAAATAACTTTGTAGCTTTAGTTTTACTAAGAAAACTTAGTAATAATCACCATTGCAGCTTTAGAATCATTTTATTAATAAAAAATATTTCTGAAGCTATATGGGCATTTTTTACTATAGTTTCTTAGTAAAATAATATCTCTGAAGTTGCAAAGGTATTTTTACTATAGTTTTCTTAATAAAAAAGGCATTTTTAAAACTGAAGAAATGCTTTTTATTATAGTTTTCTTAATTAAAAATATCTTAAAATGGCTTTACTATTGATTTGAATTTGATTGAATCAAATCAAAAATTAATTTGGATTTGATCAAATTAATCATTCTTTGATTTAAATTTGATCAAATTGAATTAAATATAAATTTGTATTTGTATTTAGTTTGATTTTCAAATTGAATATTCAATATCAAATCGAATTGCGAAATCTTAATTATTAATTTTTAAATAATTAAAATATTTTTTATTTATATATTTTAAATCTTATTTATATTTATATATAAAACTTAAGTGATTTTTATTTTAAGTAATTTGTTAAATTCATTAAATGCTTAATTAAGTTATATAATATCATAATAAACTAAATTATTTTAAATATATCATAAATTTTTATAAAATCTTAAAAAAAAATTAATATTTTGTTATTTTGTTTCAAATTTAAATTTTGCCAATTTAAAATTTTGCTATCTATTATAATTATTATTAATTAATTCAGAAGATGTAAAAGTGTACTTGTATAAAAAGCTTGTGAATGGATTTTTTGATTATGAAATTTAAAATCTAGAAATTTCTTTTCTTCAGCAATATCAAATTGATCAGATATTTTAGTTGGAATTGGATTATCACAAATTGCATTTATCCAATCTTCTAATATTATATTTAATTTTGATGCAGTTGGACGTTTCAAAGGATCAGAATGCCAACATTGTGTCATTAATTGAACATAAACTTCTGGAGTTCCATTAATAATTTTAGGTCGAAGTCCAAAACAGATTTCAGTAGCTAATTGAATATCATGTGATCTATTACACCATGGTCGAATACTTGCTCATAATGTCCACATAATTATTCCAAAACTATAAATATCTGAAGCTTTCGTTGGTGGATTTCCCTTTAATATATCAGGTGCTACATAAGGAAGTACTCCATATATTTGATTAGAAGTTTTCTTATCAATTGAATTATGTAATCCTATATCAGTAATACATGTATCTATTGAATCAGATTCATTTTCAATTAGCACATTGCCTCCATGAAGGTTTCCATGAATCAAATCATTTCTATGGATTTCTTCAATTCCTCCAGATATTCCCCAAAGCATGTCAACAATATCTCTCCAACATAATACTCCTTGTGTTTCATCAAGATATGAATGTAAATCTCCATTTTCATAATATTTCATAACAAACATATAATTTGAAGTAGGATCTTTGGTTATTCCAAAAAAATTTGCAACACTTCCACTTTGTAAGCATTTATGATATTTATAAAGCTTTAAAAATTAAACAAAATGTTATTTATAATTGTTAATATATTATTCATTATTAAACCAAAACATTTAATTATTAACTTACTTGATCCATATATTCTTTACTAATATTTTGTGAATTATTAAGTCTTTTAAGAGCAACTTTTATTGGTCCATTACGTGTCCATTGTTCTGCATCTTCATCCCAAATCCACCGAGGACCCTCCATCCAAATTGCTGAATAAATCGTACTAAAAGCTCCAGCTTTATACGTATATTCTATAAGATCAAATTGTTCAAATTCAATATATTCCAAGTAATCTAAACATCCAGCTGCGTGTAATTGAGTATGTCTTATAAAATTATCGATTTCAAGATTTTCACTTGTCCAATTTTTAAAATTTTCTTTAAAGGCATTAATTTCACATTCTTTACACCATACGACATTGCTTTGTTCCTTGCCACAATCTAGACATTTTCTAAAGGATTTTTCTTTCCACTCCATTAGTTCAGTATCTCTATTTTGTTAAAGAAAAAAATGTATCTAATTGATCCTTTTTATAATGATATCTAATCTAATCAATTAGATCAAATTAATTATGATTATTAACTAGATTGTGTATATGTACACAACTTATAATGATATCAGCCGTTAAAAAGTATATTAATTGCGCACATTATTAAAATCGAGTAACGAGACAATAAATTTAAACTTGTAACGAGATTAAAATCAAAGTTGCTCATGTTTTAATATTTGTTAATAAGATTCGACCAAGTCATCACTTAAAGTTGAAAATATTGTAATTGTAATCCACTCTATATAAAGAAATTTTAATAGATTTTATTTCAACATTATTTCTCCAAAATAATTACAGTATTAGGAGTTTACGAATGATGAATTATAATCTTAATTTCATTTTTCTAAACTTTAAAATGATCGTTGTAAATTGATTCATTTATCCTTATCGTTATGATGATCAAATGTTATGATTGAAATCTATTTGTTACCAAATTAATGTCACATTAATAAAAAAATAAAAATATTTAGTAAACACTAGATTATGCATGATGATAAAGATAAGTATGACAGCTGAGACATCACTTGTGGTATTCGTCTGGTGTTACATGACTATTTTATTCAACATGTCAATAAAAAAATTTTTATGAATATTTCGTCATATAATTATTATTTTTTTAATTTAATTACAATCAAAGTGATTAATTTCATTGGAATGTTTAAGTATTTATTTACAACTGATTATCATTATAGAATCACAGTCTTTTATTATTGAAATTATTATTTTTTTTTAAAAAAAAAGACATGAAAGAGAACATTTTCTAACCGTATCATCATGTGACAACAATATTTTTTTGCTAATATTTCGATAAGTTTCATCTCTCAAAATAATAGCGAGTTGTAATCATAAATTTTTTTTTAAAAAAAAAATAGCAAATACCATCGAAAAATCAATCCTGACATTTATACGATACGACATATTAGTGTACTTGTTACAGAAATCGTCAAAGTTCTTATTGTCTGTTATAAGTTAATTATCTTGATTTTGCGGCATGTTAAGTTCGGAGCAATAAAGTATGTGTTGTAAATATTTCTTCGTCTGCAACTGGTTCTTGCATTGAGAAATGCATTATTGTTAACCAGTTGCAAAAAAAAATATAGGGATAATGTGCACAATGGAATGGGTGCATAAAAGTCATTATAATTCGGGATTGACCTTTGACTTAAACCTAAAAATTGATATATTGAATACAAAAGCATGTTACATAAATATAATTGTTTTAATTAAGAATATAGTTTTTTTTTATCTTTAAATATATCAATATAACACATAAAAGAATCCATAACAAGGTATTTTACTATCTTAATTTAGGACACATTAATATTTATAAGATGTACATTCAATTAGCGTTAAAGGAAACATAAATAGGATTATATAGATTTTGCCCCGCTTTATGATGTCAATAAATCGCGCCATTATTAACCAATTAATAAAAATATCGGGATCTGATCTTCATTCCTTTATTTGGGTAACAAATAATAATTTTGAGATCCTGCCAATATCATCTGATAGATAATTAACTTTTTTTTAGACTAATATTATGTATGTCAATCATCTGTTCACTTTTTTCACTATCGAGATGTTCAAGAATCAAATTTAATTGTACAATTTTGTTTAAACACTAATTAATATAAATAATATAAAAAATTTTGAACCCGTGGATCGCACAAAAAAAAATTTTTTTAATTATTAAATTTCGGTATTTTTTTACACAAACGCATTATATTTAAATTTGGCACTTGTATTAGTCATTTCAGAGTATGTATTAATTCTTTCGCAATTTCTATGAAAATGAAATTATTTATTTGTACATGATTTTATGGATACTATAGCCGTTCCGCTATACATCGTCTAATTTTGCGCAACATAACTCCCTAAAAAAAATGTAACATATTCCTTATAAAAAGACCAACTGAAAAATTTTAAGGTTTTTTTAGTCTTCTCATTGAAATTTAAATCTATATTTAATCCATAAACAAGGATATTCTGTACATGCGAATTTAAATCAAATTCCCCTAAAAAAACCCTTGATTTTAGTTTTTTTTTATTTTATTTTATTTTATAAAAAAATATGAACAATAAATCTATCATATGATAATAATAATAAATAATTATTACTATTGTAGAGCCTACATCATCATATTGCATTTTGTTCTAAAAATAAACTGCAAACAATGAGATAAAATTTTAAATTCTGATTTCTTAAAAAAGCAATAATTTACCGGAGGGGCATTTTGCTAGTCCCAAATGATTAAATTAAAAAATTTATAAATATCCTAAATTAAATAAACAATCCTAAATGAAATGCTTAAAAATAATTTTCTCCTGTCAGACGTCATATAAACAATTCAAAAAGTATAAATAAGCCTTTTTTGCTTTGGTAAAAAAAATCATGATAAATCCTATAAAACAATCTTCCTATTTTTCTAACAAGAAATTGTAAGTAAGTTTTATGGGTGATCAACGCACGCCATTTGATTACCGGGTTTTCGGATAATATAAAATCAGGTTCCATGAATTTTTTAACAAAAATTAAAATTCTTTAATATAAAAATAAAATGCAATAAATATCTCAATTTAGTTAAAAAATTCCCCAAACCTGATTTTCTTATCAATATTCCTATAGTTGCCTGGCAAAACTTTTGTGTTTCACTGGCAAAACTATAATAAATCATTATTTGCAAAACCTTCAAAACTTGAATCCCCCGCCTAAAATCAAGACTATAATATACACTCATAACAAATACGTGACATATAGGAGGGGTTTCGACTTTGTCATTTCTAAAAATGAGTTTTTCCAGGCAACTATAAATCATCCCATTTATTATAATATACTAATAATGTCTTTTCAACAAAATAGGTTTTTGTTCTTATGACTTTTGCTTTAAAATCTGAAGGTACATTAAAAGGCAAACATAATGTAACATTTGGACAATGTTCGGAATGCGAAAAAGGACAAAGAAGCATGGGATGGTGCGAAAGTTGCGAGTCTAATGCATTTAAAGCAAATTTTAAAAATTGGACAAGCGAAAATCCTGTCATTGATGACTTTGTTCGCCATACTCAATTAAACGCAACTGGAAGTATAGATTACTTGGAATATATTGAATTTGAACAATTCGACCTTGTAGAATTTAAGAATAAGTTCGGAGCCTTTAGTACAATTTATTCAGCAATTTGGTTGGAAGGTCCTCGACGTATCTGGGATAACAACTCAGGAATATGGACACGCAATGGACCAACAAAAGTCGCACTTAAAAGACTTAATAATTCACAAAATATAAGTAAGGAATATTTGAATCAAGTTAGTAATAATTTGAATAAACTTTTTGTACTTTTTGTTATTAGAGTTTTATTTATTAAAATTTTAATAATAATATATTTAAAATTTTTAAAGCTTTATGAATTTCACCATTGTCTACAAATTGGGAGTATTGTAGATTACTTTGGAATAACTAAGGATCCTACTTCAAATTATATGTTTATTATGAGTTATTATGAAAATGAAAATTTGTATTCATACCTTGATGAAGCACTAGGAACCTTATGTTGGAGAGATATAGTTGAAATGCTTTGGGAAATATCTGGTGGCATTGAATATATTCATGAAAGTGAGTTAATTCATAAAAATCTTCATGGAGGTAATCTATTAGTTGAAGATAATCAAAATTTCATTGATATACATATTACTGACATGGGATTATATGGTCCAACTGATAACAAAGACTCCAATGATATATATGGAGTTCTCCCTTATGTAGCTCCTGAAATCTTGCAAGGAAATTCACAAACGAAAGAATCGGATATTTATAGTTTTGGAATTATTATGTGGACATTTTCTGCAGGTATTCGTCCATGGTGCAATAGACCACATAACCTTTCATTAGCTACGGAAATTTGTTCCGGACTTCGTCCTGAAATTATTGATGGAACCCCTGATGTTTACATTCAATTAATGAAACAATGTTGGAATTCTGATCCTTTAGAACGTCCAACTGCATCACAAATAAATGAATTGTTAGAAAGTTGGATAACTGCTATATGTGATGAACCAGATCAATCCGAGTTATCCGACCAATTTGATATTGCCGAAGAAAAAAAATTTTCAGATTTAATAAAAATCAAATTTCAAAAACAAATTATTCATCCTCAGGCGTTTTATACAAGCAGGCACTTGTATTTCCCTGAATTAGTTAATCATATTTAAAATGATTGTAGATTTTTTTGGCAAGAAAGTATTTCTAATTTGGCAAAATGCATACAAATTAATTGGCATTATTTATAAATTTATGATTTAACATAAGCATATATGTATAAGTTTAATATGCACTGTATATATTTAATTCACTCTAATTCGTATATAAGATATTATTATTTATGATACATCGCGTAATCATATCGTGAATCGATATTCTAAATTTTAAAAAAATATTTAATCGTTTTTTTTTAAATAGAAATCACACTCAAGATTTATTATGACAGATTCAATATGTCGAACGTTATATATATTGAAAATTTTTAATTATTATGTAAAAATGTATTATTATGTTGTATATTTGTAATAAAATAAAAAATTATCCAAATTTTAACTAAATTTTGCAAAATGTAAGTCAATTTGTAGTAGTCTAAACAAATAAAGTAATCCATGTAAAAAGAATTTCCCAGAAAATCATTCATACTTTTTAATTTACAAATAAATAAAATAAATAAAAATACTACATTATTAACCAATTGGGAATTTTGTATGAAATAAATATGATTTCGGGAAATTTTCATGACATGCATAACGATAATTTTCCGAAGATTGCATTTTTTTAAAAGATGAGATGCAAATAGTAACACAGCACATTATACTTTAATATGAATTGTAAATTTTGCATTATTCGGTTAAACGCAATGTTGAAAAATTAAGGTACAAATTTTTATTATTAATTTTTTATATTGAATCCTTTTCAATAGACCATAAGGTTAATGATTATACAGTATGAGAATTAGATTAGTTTAATCTATTACCAATCATTTTTATTACGCACTTTTAAATTATTGCACGTCAAATGAAGCATTTATTAACATTTATGTTACTATTTTCACGAGATTTACTTAATGTAGTAATAAAAAATTTTTATTATTTAAATTCGTACTCAGAAGTTCAAAGTTTTAATGCGCTTTGCATATATTTATGAAAAAAACAAAATTATATGATAAGTAAAATATGTCCCGATTTAGTATTTTTTTATTGCAAAAATGTGTATAACGGTTTGAATTACTTTTTTTTATCATTTAAAAAAGAGAACTCAGAAAAAAACGCGAAATTTTAGGTTTCGTTTCCATTTTTTTAGTTCATGTCGTACAATAAAATCTAACCAATAATCAAGCTGATAATAGAGAATTATTCATTGGATATTTCTTCATTATATAAACTATTGAAATGTTTAATAATAAAAAATAAAAAGTATACTAAAATAATAATAAATAATGGATCAAAAAAAAAAAAAAAATTGATAAAAAAGCAAGTTTAATTAAAAGATCGAACGAATCCCCTAATTTTATGATTTTGCTTAAATTGTGATTTAATACAACTTTTTTATTTTTCTCTTGACATTTCCAAAAATATATTTTTTTTTCATTATAATAATAAGAATATAAACTTAATATTTTGATACAATTTATTTATATGGAAAAATATTCAATTTTTTTACTTTTTTTCATGAACAATTTCATGTTGTGATGATCATAAAACTTGAAAAAAAAGTTTCGCTGAATCGATTTTGAAATTTTAATTTAAGAAGTCCTTTGACGAATTTATTTTAAAATGTTCTAACCGCAGACAGAATAGACAGAATCAAGTAAAGTTAAATAATAATAATAAAGATATGATCAATTTAAATATGATGTCACTTTTGCAATATAAAGGGGGAGAATAACCGGGAAAAATCAAATTTATTTTTATAGGATATGTTAAATGATTAGACTTAATTAACTTAATTAAACTAATTAAACTAAATAGTTAATCTTGATTGCTCAAACGGGTTAGTTCAAATTCTAATTTATTAAATTAGAGTTTTAATATTTAATATATTCTCATTTAACAAGATATTGTCATTTGTTAAATTTATTTCATTATTTTAACTAAAATTGGCCATTTGCGAATTATTAAAAAATTCTGGAAGCTATTTGATCGAGCGCGCTTAAATAAATACTAACAAGTGCTAAACCAGCTTGAAGCATGTTTAGAACACATATTAACTTGTTTGCGAAATTTTGTGCTCAAACTCGGCTTAAGCATACTAAAAAATGAATAATCAAATTTATTATTTGATCGCTCGGACGTATGCGTCAAGTTACGAACATCGTAAATCATATGATCCTTTTATTACCATATGCTTTTATATCGTATGATAATTCCGTGTCTTATCAGCTATGACATTATCGTATGTTCGAAGAACTCGTATTAAAAATCTCCTTATACCGGTAATTACCTTAGAGGATCATGCTATTAATATCTAACTTTTTACTTTTTATTTTTTATTTTTAAATTTTCTAGTCAATTCATCTTCTGCTCTTAAAAATTATAAGTAAAAATACGACCGATTGTAAAGAAATATACAAGTATTTAGAATAGCAGTAACAATTGCACTTGAAAAAGCAGCCATAAGATAATAGTTCGATAGCTCCAATTGTTCTTTTACTAAATTCTTGCCGCAAAGAATAAATTAACTTGGATATCAAAATTGTGAAATACAAAATTATAAAAATAGAATTTACACGATTTTTTTTTTTTCATAATTCGCGTGAATAATAAATAGAAATTAAGAAAAAAGAATAATTGCCGAAATGGCGTGATTTCGGGCATTTGCGGAAAAAACCAGTTTAAAAAATATAACCTGTTTTATTTACAAATATGGGTGGTGTGCTTATGTCTCATGCCTCAATTTTAATAACATACCACCACCCATATGGCTTCATAATAATCTGTTCAAAGATTGATTGGGAGAACAAAACGATCAACGTTATTGGTTGATCGCGTCTATTCGGGTTACACGAACCAATTATTTAATAAAGGTTGTGGAATCTAATAAATTTTTAACGTCATGTTCAGAACCGCATTTTATGTCTTCTCAACAAAATCGAGATTTTGATTTAATAGATTTACTTCTACCGTCAGAAGAATTGTCATACCCAACTTCTGGAAAATGTTATTGTGGAAAAGAACAAAGCAACGTAGGATGGTGTAAAGAATGTGAAGTTCTTTCCTTTAAAGAAAATTTTAAAAATTGGACAAGTGGAAATCTTAGAATCGATAATTTTATTAAACATACTCAATTACATGCTACTGGATGTGTAGATTATTTGGAATATATTGATTTTGAGCAATTTGATCTTGTAGAAAACACAAATAAAAGAGGAGCTTTTAGTACAATTTATTCGGCAATTTGGATGGAAGGTCCTCGATGGGTTTTTGATGAAGATGTTGAAGAATGGACACGAAATGGACCTACAAAAGTTGCTCTTAAACGGCTTAATGATTCACAAAATATTAGCGAAGAATATTTGAATCAAGTAAGTTAATAAAGTTTGATCATTAATACGTTTATTTAATTACTCTATTAATGTGTATTTATTTTTATAAGCTTTACAAATATAAAAGATGTATTCTAAATGTAAGCATTGCAGATTGTCTTGGGATTACTAAAGATCCTACTTCAAACTATATGATTGTTATGAAATATTATGAAGGTGGAGACTTGCATTCATACCTTGAAGAAGTAAATGGAATTCTTTGTTGGAGAGATATTATTGATATGCTATGGGCAATTTCAGAAGGAATTAAACATATTCATGATTGTGAGTTAATTCATGGAGATCTTCATGGAGGTAATCTATTAGTTGAGAATGAACATGACTCAGTAAATGTATTCGTTGCTGATGTAGGAGTACACGGTCCAGTTAAAAAAAAAAATCCAAATGAAATTTATGGAGTTCTTCCTTATGTAGCTCCTGAGATTTTGAAAGGAAGTCCAGCAACAAACCTTTCAGATATTTACAGCTTTGGAATTATCATGTGGACACTTTCTGCGGGTATTCGTCCATGGTGTAATAGACCACATGATCTTAAATTAGCTATGGAAATTTGTTCTGGTCTTCGTCCTAAAACGATTGATGGTGCTCCAGACGTTTACACTCAATTAATGAAACAATGTTGGCATTGTGATCCTTCAAAACGACCAACTGCATCATATTTATGTGAGCTTTTAGGAAGTTGGGTAACTGCCATTTGCGATAATCCAATTCCATCGGAATTATCTGATCAATTTGATAAAGCTGAGGAGAGAAAATTTTTGGATTTAGAAAAGAACCAATTCCACCAACAAAAGATTCATCCTCAAGCTTTTTATGTAAGCAGGAGCTTGTATTTTCCTGAACTAGTTAACCTTTGCTAGATGTATTATTCTGGATTGCTATCAGGAAAGAACTATCGAGTTGAAATACGTCCCAAAATTTTCATCCACTGGAAATTTTTAAATTTTTTTGAAAACATTTTAAACAACCAACGAAGAGGATAAATATGATATGACGTGACATGACGAGTTTAAAGAGTTTGTTTACGCCAAGAAAATAAATCGACGTAAAATTTAATTATGTATATGAATTTTTAGATGATGACATCCTATATAATTTCATTTTTCTAAGATAAATATTTCAATTAATTGAATTAATTACAGGTTTTCGTTATTAAGTGATCGACTCCTATATGGCTCTTTTCGACGAGTCATGAATATGATCAAATAAGATTTTCATGAGCATCCCAATTGAATTATCACGTGAGTTTTCAAAAAAATTATTTATACATGGATGGGATACTCTTCTTGAAAATTTTACTAATATAGCAATGTTTAATTTTTTTATGAATTATTAATTCTACAATATTCATATTGATTTATTTTTTTTTTAATAGCAATTTGCTTAAAATATAATGTTTTAATACATTTAAAAAATGTTTTAATTGGAATTAACTTAATTCAGATCATAAAATTGATCAATTTTTTTTTTAATAAAATAGGTAAATAAGAAATTAATGTTTAGTAATAATATTGGTTATTTAAATGATTTGATTATTCAAATTAATCATTAAATGATTTGGATTATATGAAATAAACATATTATTTATCATATATCATTTGATTCTTAATTTATGATTAGATCCATTAATTTATCTCAAATTCTAATTGGATGATATAATTAATTATATTATTTTGTTATATAATCAGATATGACAAACAAATATCATTATCCAAAAAATTTTTATTTTCAGATACTTAATAAAATTAAAACATTACAGGTATTATGTCAATAATAAATCATTTAAGTTTTAATCTTAATCTTAATTTTAATCTTAACTCTAATTAATATTAATTATATTAGCCAATTAGAATTTAATATAAATTTGCAAACTCAAAATAATCAAGAGTAGCTATATATACAAGCCTAAATATTTTGACATATTTGTAATTATTGTTTACAATTTAGTAAGCATAATTACATTTATTTTAAACTGTATAAATAATAGTAATATATGTAAAGTAAAAGATAATCTTTTTTTATAAAAATTAAATGAAATTGCTAATTATACTATATCATTAAACTTAAAAAAAGTAAAAGAAGGAATTAAATCTTTTTTTCTTTCATATTGAATTTTATTCAAGAATTTTTTACTTAAAAAAATATTTATTCAAAGGTAATCGTAACCATATAAATAAACAAAAATCTTTTTATTTAAAAATATTTTCTCTTTGTTTTTTATACTCCTATTTATATAAAAATTGCTATTGTATTCTAAATGATGTTGCTTTTTGTTAAAAATTTTTTTATCTCTTTTTAGTATATTTTTTTTATTTTTTCTTTTCTTAAAATTTGTTTATAAAAGTGAATATCAAGAAGTATCTCAACTTGGAATGGTAACAAAAAGTCATAGTCAGTTAATAGTTAATCAATGATCAATTAGAAACCTTTGATTAACTGATCATTTATATTGACTAGTTGATCAATACATATAATAATGATATAATTTAAAGTTCTTAATCGATAATTTTAATTTACAATTTAAATAATACTAACATAGTATTTGCAAAACTTTGATTTTTTATATATTTTACTTATTTTTTAAGCTAACTCAATATTTATATTAAGTTTACTTTCATATTTACAGCATTATTATAAATTTTTTTAAAAAATAAATTATAAATTTTTATTTATAAAAAATTATATAATTAAAATGATTGTTAATTAAATGCAAAGAATTCCTAGATTACTAATTAAAAAATATTTGATCAACTGATCAGTCAGAAACCTTTAATTAACTGATATCAGTTACAGGTATAATCAGTCATAACCGGTCATGATCATAATCATTAACATTATTAATCTCAAATAACAATCAGAATTAATATATTTTGAATATATAAATCTAATATAATGTCATTTTCTTTCTTTCTAAATGATACATTTTCTTTTTATTAATTAATAAGCTTTCTATAAACTCTAACATCAAAGATTATGAAATATTATGTAACATTTTTCTGGGCTTTTATAATTATGTGATTTGGATTTTATACTTTTTCAGAGATTAGCTATAATTTAAATTAATAGATATTTTAAAAGTTTGAAGAATCTTTATTAGAATATAGTAACTTGGTATTTTAGTTAAAAACTTAAATAGAATCATTTTAAGTATTTTTTTAGTAAGTTCTTTATGTAGATATTCATTTTATAGTTTTTTCTTTGAAAAATATATAATATTAGTTGAAGAATTACATTTTATTGTTTTTTCAAAAATTTATTTAGAAAGATAATAAAATTGTATGGATTATTTCTTGTTTCTATTCCTTAGTGATACTGGTTATTATTTTACTTTCATAAAATGAGTCTAGTAAAGGAGATAGTAATAAACAATTAACTTAAACAGATTTTAAAAGTAGTTATAAGAGGCAACTAGTACTTTTAAATTAGTTTTTTATTTTTACTTAATTGTATTTACTTTTATAAAAATTAAATAATTACCATATTATTAAACTTAAAACAAAAAGAAAGTAAGAGAAGAAAAAAACTTTTATTTTCTTTTAAATTTTTCAAAAAATTTTTTTAAATAATAAAATTATTCTATTCTTAAACTTTTTATTATAAAAAACTCATATAATAATAGTTTATAACTTTATTTAATATCAAATAATTTTATTAAAAAGAAAAAGAATATAAATTTAACAAATCTTTTATAAAAAATAATTAGATAAATGCAAACAAAAATTTAGTTATTAAATAAAAATCTTTAAAATTAAATAAACTAAATCTATTGTTTCTTTTTCTATTATCTGTCTAAATCCTAGTCTTTCTTTTGATAATAGCTTTATTACTTAAATATCTAGTTATCAATAATATGAGCATTTTGCAGTATAAAAGGTGAATACATTCTAAAAATAAAAATAAGATTTAGCTAAATTTGGGTAAGTGTTTAGTATAAATAATATTTTTCAATTATAAATGAAGATTAATTTGCATAATAAAAAATAAAAAATCAAGATATACTAATTTAAAAATGTTACGCTAAACAAGATCAACATTAAAAATAGTATAAGTTAATCTTATTAATTAAGTAGAGAATTGATATCTAAAAATAGATTTCATTTTCTTTACAATAGAAAGGATGATAACTTTAATTCTTATTTTAAGAAAATATAAAATATAAAAAAAGGAAAAATATTTTTTTTTAAATACTTTTTATATGAAGAAATAAAATTTTATATATATTTATTTTCTCATATTAAAGGAATGATATGAATGATATTTTATCATTCTATCAGAATGATTTTTTTTATTATTTCTTTAGAATAATATATTATCATTCTATTAAAATGATAGTTTTATTATTCCTTTAAAATTATATTTATCATTTTATTAGAATGACTTTTTTTATTGTTTATTTAAAATAATATTTTATTGTTCTAATAAGGCAAAATTGGAGGTTCTGAAACAAAATTCCAAAATAGTATATACTAATATTTAGGCGTCTTCTCGTACTATTCCTGATATACAAATTTCATGAAATCATTTTTAATCTCCCAACCACGTTGTGATATCAAGAAGTACATTAAGAATTCAATAATGAATTTAAGATTAAAATCAAGCTGGGCTCAAATCCAGATATTTAAAAAATGTTAGTAATGAACTTGCTTAGGAATTAGCTTATCTAATATCAAGAATTATACTATTCGATATAGCTATTCTAGCCCAATTTTAATCCCAAATAATATATCAAAAAAATTTTACTATTCTGTTTACCTTTGAATGGCCCATCAAAAATCAAAAAACGAAGTGACATGATATGAACTGGGTCTAACATTGCAAACCCAATATCAATAATAACTTTTATGCTATTCTGTTTGCCTTTGAAGAGACCATCAAAAATCAAGGAACAAAGTGATATGATTTGAGTTAGGACTGATTATACAAGCCTAAAATGCATACCATATTTCATGATATCCTAGAATTAATTCTAAAGTTGATTCATTATCAGCTAGCAATACTAAAAATTTACACCTATTGTGAAGCATAGGTGTAAATTTTTGAATTTCATGAAAGATGATGAAAATATCAATTAAGTTGAAATTCAAACAAATGATCAATATTTAGATGTTAAATTTCATGAAAATATAATTAATATTATTGTAACAATGAAAACTCAATATAAATTAAAGATTATAATATTATTAGCAAAGAAGTTATTAAAGATCTTCAACTTTTATATTTAAATATTTTATTAAAGAGTTATATAATGATATTATAAAAGTATTTGTGAAAAAATCCTTAGATTATATAAGATTAAAAAATAATTAGAAAGATTAATAGGACTTATTTTATCTTTTATGATATATATAAAAATTTTTGTATATGTTATACTAGGAATTTATAAATCTTTTTAAAGTTATCAATTATATGATTTATCAAGATATGATTTAAAAATAAATTTAAAAATATTATGTCATACCTTTTTATTAAAAAAAAAAATCAAATATAATAATAAAATAAAAGTTAAAGAATTACTTTACTATTATTAATATATTATTAATTCAAAAGATTTAGAAGATATTTTGATGAAAAAATATATAGATATTAATTTATTTAATGATAAAAAGGATATTGTATTTATTGTTCTTATGATGAATATCAAATATTTAAACAAAAAACAGATATTTTTTTTTAATTAATAATAATTATGATATTTTAATTAAAGTTAAAAAAATTTGATAATTTCTTTTTTAATTCCTAAATTTATCAAAAGATTTTAATTTATTTTTACAGTTCTTTATAGATGAAATAAAAGAATTATAAAATAAGTAAATTTTTTTATAATATAAATAATTTATTTTTTAGATAGTATAATATGTTA